TTTTTTTATATTAAATAAAGTTATTATAATAATAATTAGATCAAAATTTTATTACTAAATGTTAAAAGTTCTCATTTTTAATTTGTTTTAGTTTGTTTTGATTTATTTTTGTTTTCTATAAAAATGATTTAATATCCTTTTTATTCAATTGACTAATTTTTAAGCTTAATTGGAGTCCGAGCAAAATATTATGGTAAAAATTTTACTGAAAATTTTGTTAGTTAAAAAAGAAACTTTTCTTTTTTCCATTAATAATTTTTATTTTATGCAATATTAATTTATGTTTCACTAATTTTATTAAGTTACATAATTTCTTTTATTATAACATAAATTAGTCGAAGGAAAGTTCGATTCAATTCTCTTGATGACATGGCTGATTAGGTGTCAAAAAACATTTCAGTCATCACGCCAAATGTCGCAATTCTGAGAGTCCAACTCTCAAATATTATATATAAAGGATTTATGTGTTTTTATTGATTATTTGACGAAATAAAATATAATTATCGCCTCCTGTTTTGTAAAACATTTGATATACTTTTTAACTATGTAAGTTTTATTTTTTATATATACCAATCATTAAATAAAATGAATTTGAAAAAATTTGAAATTTTACTTTGTTATGCGTAAAGTGTAAATCATACAATGACAGAGAGAGTATAAGTTATACTTTGTATTTCTAATTACTCCATCTTGAAAAAAATTCTAGTTACTATTCACAAGTCAAATTAACTGTACTTTTTTTTGTAAGTTTTCATTGATTATTTAAAAATAAAATAATCTTGTCGTCATTTGTTCTGTAAAAATTTTGATTAAGTTTTTAATATGTAATTTTTATTTTTACACCAATTTTAACTTATTATATAAGTTTGAAAATAACTTTAGCCAACGTAAAGTAAACAAGAGCCATATTTTGGATATGGGGGGAGTATTTTATATAAAAAAAATTTAAAACATAAAATTTTTATGTTTGAAAATAATATTGAGACCGAGGGAGTATACCATTGTTAGTATTGTCCTCATTATTTAGTTCTAAGTTTAATTTGACATAGTACTCCGAAATTTTTATTGTTTATTACGGAGTATAAAATGAACATTATGCACCGCATAATCCTTAGCGGCAAATTTTCATGTAAACTTTGTGTCCATACTTATTTATAAGTCTCCTGAAACTTTATTCACACTTCCCTTACCTTCCCATTAGAAAAAAAGATGACAAATGACATTAATACCCTCATGTATTTACATCAATTATCTTCTAACTCTATATTTTGAATGATTGCAAAAAAAAGTTTTAAAATTTATTTTTAAGGAAGGTAAAATTTGAAGTCAAAGCCAAAAATTAAAAATGAGGAAAAGTCAAACTGGGAAGAAAGAATTGGGACGGAGGGAGTAGTATAAAAATACCATGTAAGAATTAGACTTTTTGAAAAAAAAGGAAAAAGATCCACTTGTAAATATACAAAAATGTGGGAAGATCTACATTTGTTACTTGATCTATCACGGTAAACACAACTAATCTTTAATACGGAGTAATATTGAAAAGTGGATAAGATTATAGAACTTTTTTGGGGCAGGTTTATGGAAGATTTGGAATAGAAAAGAAAAAACAAATTTAAACCACAAAAAAAAAAAATTATATTTTCGATTTATACCGAAAATATTGCGCGGTTTTTTTTAAAGAGAAGCATAGGGTGCTTATTTTTTCTCCACACGACAAGGAAATCACGTGTGGGGCCTATCAAGATACTGCATGAAAAACACGGTCATAAATTTGCTCGATCCTAGAACAGGGATCCAACGGACGAAACCATTTCATCCTGCCATGGCCAGTGGGACCAATGAAACACTCTTTCAGACTCCAAATCACGCCATCCGTCCTAATTTAATTTAGGCTTGAAAACAAAGTTTCTTCCGTTAAGGTTTTCAATATTTTATTAATATAATACTAGATCAAATTTTAAAAATATTAAAGTTAAATATTAAAATTAAATAATAATTTTAAACATTTTAATTGTTGTACTTAATCATCTTATACAAATTATTTAAAAAAATCACAAAAATATGTTTAATATTATTGTTAAAATTTATTTAAAAATGATACGGAGTATTTATTTTGAAACACTCATTTTTCCCTTAAAAAAGATAAAAAAAAAATTTAAGAATGAAAGAAAAAAACATGACAAGCTTTTTAGTATATACGAAATACGGAGTAAAATCATACTCCATAATTTTACTATATATGGACGGTGTAAAATTTTTTTAAAAATATTAAAAACTACAAAATATGTTTCATAAAAAATTTATGAAGCATAAATGGAGTCGTGTGAATCTGATGTACTTTATCTTCATCCATTCAATTCAATACTCCGTATTACTCGGTATTTTTTCTTTGCCTTCAAGAGATTTAAAATAAATGTATTTTAGTGTTAAGTTTTCAAAAATGTCCTTACATTTATAGCTAAAAGTAAGATTTGATAGATAGTTTAATAGTGAATATATATGATGTGATTTGTACGTTAACAATTAGTAGAGTAAAAGTGACTTTTTAATATAATTGAGAAAATTTTTTAAAGACAGCTGAAAAAAAGGAGAACGAAATTGTTTTAGTTCATATGTTGACATTATTCACATTATAAAACTTATTTTAGAGTTAAAAATATAAACATACTATTTTAGTTCTTTTCTATGGTCTATTCTTATTTCAATTTTTATCCCAAATTGAATTTGAATGTGTTAAAGTATACAAAAGGGAATCAATTTTCTATGTGGCCGTTGCCAACAGTAATGCATCAATTTACGGATTTATGGGTAATACCACGTTCACAAACAAAAGAATCACAAATTTAACAAGCTTACTATTTATGGTTTAAATTATCATTTTAAAATTATTTTAGACTATTTAATTTTCTTTATTGAAGTTCACAAATGGTAAGTTTGTGAATTTTGTGAAACTTGAGTTTGTGAACCAAGCATTTTCCAATATTTTTTGTTTTGAAAGGATTAGGGAGTAATTTCTAAACTCGGAAAAATTTAAATGGAGTAATTTCTAAACTCTCCCAAAGGAATACGAGAAAATTTCATACTACTAGGGTTCGGGCCCACGCGTTTTGTGAGGGTAGGATCATTCGAGTCCACAGAGTAGGCTACCGTGGGGTGCCAACGCAGACGACTAAAACTCGGAGACGCGCGCTATTCGCACCGGCCACGCTATTCACACTGCTCGCGATGTTGAAAGTGCGCATTATTATTGGAGCAATTAAGACGGTACAGATTAGAGACCACCAGACGTTCAATGACCGGAAAATCAATCGAGAAAGATCTAGAAATTACCGTTTCTTCTTCCCCAGAAAGCCAAGCAGGCGTCGATGGCCGGAGATTCTCAGCTCATCTCCGTTGCAGCGCCAATCTCAAGCAGTGCAGAGAGAAGAGATTCCACAACTATTCACCCCCGAAATCCTCCCTGCAAAGCGATCGAAGAAAGAGGAAAGCAAGGTTTCAATACACTTAACAGTGGAAAAAGTGAAATTCCATCCCAAAATCGGAGAAAAATATATGAAATTTTATGAAATTGTGACTGACCGGAAGGTTTCGGAGGGCGATGAGGTCCGACCTGGAACGCAATGCGAAGAACAGGACGAAGCTTCCTTGAATCAGCCGCGAATCGCAGGTCTCGCACGCTTCCTCCGCGCACTGCCGTGCCTCAAGCTCTGCGAGCAGGGAGCGATGTAGATGGACGGCGACAGATTTCAGTTTTGTGATGTGAGGATCAGGAACGAATTAAAGCCGGATTCGTACGGGGAGGACCAAGAAAAGACTGAGAGACGAAGACGAAATGGGCAAGTATTTTTCGAGGGGGAGATGAAGACATAATTTGGTTTGGCTTTAAAAAAGCAGGGATCGAGGAAGTGCGGTCAATTTTCGTGATCTTGTCATCTGACGGAATTGCCCAACGACGTTTGGGATTAATTGCGGTAAGGTGTCGAACTCGGCGGATAGGTTACGAGGTTATTTTGGTAATTAAACTGTATTCTAGAGGGTAACTGGTTAACAGCTGTGTGTACCCGGCGTCTCTCGGCAAAAAGAAAGCATTGCTTAGGGGCCGGGCCGTTCACTTCAATTTATTAGGAGAGTGCTTCTATGCTAGAAGAGCAATGCTAGGGGTACACCAAAAAGTGTACCCCAAATGTACACCATCTCTTCTTCACTACACATTTTTATTTGATTTTTATTTACTTATTTTTTTTAAATTTTTTTGCCTTTTTTAGTGGACAAAGAGGGGTGGGGGACATATGGGGTACACTTTTGGTGTACCCCTAGCATTTTTGATGCTAGAATCTCGAAATCCTCTCGTAATTCAAAATATTCTGGTCCTGTATTTATAATGCTTTGTTTTGTAAATGTTTAAAATCTCGAACTCATTTCGAACCATTTTAAAATGAGACAGGACCAGAACACATTAATATTTTTCCGTTCCGTCCCATTATCTCGTATATATGTATATATCTACTTATTTATTTACATAATGATATAACACAAAAAAAAAATCATAATTTGTGTATTTCCCAAAATAGATATAAAATATATTCATATTCTAAAAAAATGGACTAGGACTAGCACACCAAAAAATCCAAACCGTTCGAACCCGACTCACCCCAATTTGTGGCTCATAGTTAAAAAGAAGCTTATTGTCAACATTTTCATTCTTCCTTATTATTTTGGCTTTTTAAAATCATTCTAAATAAATACATTTTTTTAATTACTTTGCAAGTCAAAGTGAGTTTACCTCTCCCTTATGTATTTTGGATAATGACAAAATAAGGCAACCCGAACTCGTTATGTTTTATCTCGATCCCAAAAATTAAGGGACAAAGAGGGAAGCTGGGCCCCGAACTGTTTCGAGCCATTTTAAAAAATGGGACAAAACACAAGAGTATGGAACGGTATAAAACCCGAATCGTCCCGACATGTGTCCACCCCTACTTGGATACATATCATTTTTGTAGATCTTCTCACATAAAGTTTTTTATTTTTTATTTAAAAAAATAAATGTTTATCTAAGTAATAAAAAATATTTATTTTGTTCGTATGTAGGTCCATGTTTATTACGAAGTACTTTTTTGTTTGATTTTTCACGTAATTTGAAAGAAATAAAGTTACTCTATTTGGTTTAGATTTATGGAACGGAGAGAGAATAAGTTTGAATTACTTATTCCATTCTTTTTAAGAAAAATAAAAAATTTGTGTTGGCAAAATCCTTTATATATGATATTTGAGAGTTGAACTCTCAGAATTGCGACATTTGGCGTGTTGACTGGAACTTTTTTTGACACTTCATCAGCCACGTCATCAAAATCGACTTCCTCAATATTTCAAACGGGTTGGGCTTCTATAATTGTGACATGTGGCGTGCTTATTTGACAACTCTATTGACATATCAGCATGCCATGTTAGCAAGTAATGTTTAAAAAATAGTTAACAAAAAAACTTATTATGCGGAAATTAAATTTCATATTTGTTACACATGCACAAATTTCTCCATATAATCGTTGTTGGGTTATGGAACCCAAGGGTAGGGGAAGAAGGAGAAATATGTGTAGATTAGATGAAGAAGATGATGAATAGTGGTGAGCCTCCCTCTTTTCCCCCCCTCCCCCCTCTTCCAAGAAGAGGAGTATAAATAAGGAGAGTTAGGGTTAGGGTTTCGGACTAATGGGCCGGCCCAACAGGCTGGGCCGCCCTAAATAACAAACATGCGACTAATGGGCCGGCCCAACAGACTAGGCCGCCCGTAAATGAATAATTAACGTACGACTAACGGGCCGGTCCAACAGACTGGATCGCCCCAACTAATATTATACAAAGACCGGATACCCCCTGTCCAGGGTATCCATCACGAGTCCCCCACTTCTCGAGCCGAGAGGAACTCGAGGTGAAGTGGAAGTAGAACCATAATTCACCACGGAAGGACACCGTCTTCCTTGCTGTAGAGGAGAAAGAGTCAGGCTGTGACGGTGGACTTGGACAAAGCCACATAAAAAAACAATTATCACTTTGGAGGCAGATTTTATGCTTTTTGAACTACTACGCATTATTGCTCATCGTCAAATACAAAAGGATAGAGCAAGTAGGGTATGTGGATGATATTCACCTGGGATGTTCAAGCAAGCCAGTGGCGGGCCTCCATGTTTTAATTATGGGGGATTCTTCCTTTTTTTAATCACATGCATCAACACGAAGGTTAGGAACTATCGTTCTCCAATTATTGTTTACACATTAAGATGCTCACATTTCCTTAAAAAAAACTAGATTCAATATTAATTGATGCCAAGTGAGAGAAACCAATCAAGTGGTACAGTTATTATGCTCATCTAGATGAGAATGGACGAGATTTAAAGTTTAGGCTAGTGACGGGAACCCATGCTCGACTTGTTTTGCTGCACAAATTTTTGTTACATCCTTATTGGAATTAACGCATGTCGTGACTTCATTTATACACGAGCGAAAATCAAATATAGAATTGATGCTGGAAAACTGGAAAAGGTGGGGCCCTCCATGAACTTTATCAATTGGTGGGGTACGAATAGATTAGCTCTGTTCTGAATGGATAGACACAAGTAGCTGAAAGAGGGTCTATTAATTGGGGTTTGCTGTTTAGGGCAACCTCGGGGAGAGATGCCCGACGTTCACCGTCACAGATTTGGTTTCTTTACCCGGGTTCTGAGAAGACTCTCTATTATCACCCCTCTCCTCTTATGCATCTGGGTCAAAATCCCATGTGATCGAGCGCACGGATACGGCCGAGTAGGTGACAACTTCAGAGGCCGAGCTTATAATTTCTAGTGGAACTCGAACCGAGTTTGGGAGGATAATCGAGTCCGAGTTCGAGATCAAGAGAGCCTGAGTTCGCCCGATAGTCCAGTTCGGCAGTGGTGATCTTAGCCGGCCGAATTTGCTGATGCCGAGTGTACTATGTTCGGTCAGGCGCCTGTTCTGATTCCAAATAACTCGGGGGCTTTGTAAAGTGTGTTTAAGTTTTCTCTTCATACGACAGAGTATACGTTCTGATATCCGAGTACGATGATATCCATCACCTCTGGTCTCACCGGGCTGCGACCCACCTTCACGATTTTAGCTCAGATATACACCAACTCCTTATTTATATGATTACTACTCAGATTTGCGTCACTACTCAGATTTGTGCCACTTTGTTTCTACGACTTGGGTTTTTCGTCAAAAAAAAAGAAAATAAAAAGAAAATAAAAAAAATATCGCTTCCACGCGATTTCATGTTCGCTTCTACGCGACTTTATGCAGCTGTGCATCATCGGGCTTCCACGCCACGATATGGCCTCACGCGGTCCTCGTCATTGCGCGAGCAAAATCCCTCCGGAGGGTATCGCAAGGTCCTGCTTAGGACAAAAACATGCCAGTCCTGCTTAGGACAAATATTAGATCTGCTGAGATCGCACTTCTACGCTACCACGCGTCATCGGCGCCACGCCGCTAAAAAAACGACAAAGGAATTTTTCATATTTTGTCTTTCAGGTACAGAATGGAAGACCTCATGGCATACTCAACTCGAGCCCGCCTAGCAGAGCTCACGGATGGCACACTATTTCAACTTTTTCCCGAGGTCGGCCTCGGCCACCTCGCAAGCCACTTAAGCCCTCGTCTCCCGAGGCAACCAAAAGCCTTCTCTCGAGGTCGGCCCCGTCCACCTCACGAGGCACTTAAGCCCTCGTCTCCCGAGGCACCTAAAAGCCCTCTCCCGAGGTCGGTCCTATCCACCTCACGAGGCACTCGATATTTTTCCCGAGGTCGGCCTCAGCCACCTTGCAAAACACCTAAGCCCTCGTCTCCCGAGGCACCAAAAAGTCCTCTCCTGAGGTCGGCCCCGTCCACCTCACGAGGCACCCAAGCCCTCGTCTCCCGAGGCCACTAAAAGCCCTCTCCCGAGGTCGGTCCTAGCCACCTCACGAGGCACTTAAGCCCTTGTCTCCCAAGGCAACTAAAAGCCCTCTCCCGAGGTCGGTCCTCGCCACCTCACGAGGCACTCAACTTTTTCCCGAGGTCGGCCTCGGCCACCTCGCAAGTTGCTTAAGCCCTCGTTTCTCGAGGCAACCAAAGCCCTCTCCCGAGGTCGGCCCCAGCCACCTCACGAGGCACTCAACTTTTTCCCGAGGTCGGCCTCGGCCACCTCGCAAGTTGCTTAAGCCCTCGTTCCTCGAGGCAACCAAAAGTCCTCTCCCGAAGTCGGTCCTAGCGACCTCACGAGGCACTCGATATTCTTCCTGAGGTCGGCCTCACCCACCTCGCAAGTGCTTAAGCCCACGTATCTTGAGGCACCCAAACGCCTTCTCTCGAGGTCGGCCCCACCCACCTCACGAGGCACTTAAGCCCTCGTCTCCCGAGGAAATTAAAAGCCCTCTCTCGAGGTCGGCCCCATCCACCTTACGAGGCACTTATGCCCTCATCTCCCGAGGCAACTAAAAGCCCTCTCCCGAGGTCGGCCTCAGCCACCTCTTGAGGCACTAAAAGTTATCTCCCAGACAATTTCAACTCTTTTCCCGAGGTTGGCCTCGACCACCTCGCAAGGCATATAAGCTCTCGTCTCACGAGGCATCCTAAGCCCTCTTCTCGAGGCACTCTTCGATGCCGTCCCAAGGCAAACTCCCCTAGCCCACTTTCTAGGGCACAGTCTTAATTACTCATAGAATGGAAAGGCCTGGCCAGGCTGATCGGCCAAGCCCATCGCATTATTTGCATTTGTTTGAAATTTTTTCAGGTAAATCATTATATGAAGAGAAGTCGCCACAGAGCGAGGGTCCAAAGACTCCCACCGAAACCGGGCGTGAGCACTACTCCCTTTCACCTCGGAATTCTTCCTCGGCTTAGGGAGTGGGGGACTCCGGGTACTCGGCTCGTGATCGTTACATTGCACACTGGGAGAGGTTGGCGATCGACATCCCGACCTTGTATCAGACCGCAGCAGTCCGTGTCGACATGCACTTGTCGGCAATACACTATGATGAATAGCCCTCGACTATAGCCCTCAACTCCGGACGACGAGTCCGGGGGACTTGAAGATCACCTCTTCTGGGATTCACACAAGAGACCTCACACCCCAGCAATGTTTTTTTGATCCACTCTATGGGACGAGATGTACTCTTTTCTTGACCGAGGATTTTTTCCCATCCTCATGGGTTTTTTCCTCAGCAAGTTTTTAATGAGACATCCCCCGTGGGGTGGGTCACACATCGACGGGATTGAGGGAGGATTTTTGAAGACGACAAACAGACGATGACGACTCCCTCACCCACTCTTATGGTGATCGTCGTGCGCTGGAAAGCAAACCGACGATGCCCTTTGTACGAGAGCAGAACCTTTCAAGACTATGAGCAGATTGTGTATTTTTCTTGCTTTACCGCTCCGGACAGCGAGTCGGCAGTGCATTTGATACTGATTGGCGCAATTTCTTTATAGCGAGGTTGCATTACATTTCACATTGATGGCGTTCTTTCCCTTACTCTGGACAACAAGTTGGCATTACATCTCAGGCTGGTGGCGTTGTTTACCTTACTTTACCGTGCTTAGGACAGCGAGTTGGCGGTCCACTTTAGACAGCAAGGAAGACGGTGCCCTCCCGTGGTGGATTATTTTTCTACTCCCACTTCACCTCGAGTTCCTCTCGGCTCGGGAAGTGGGGGACTCATGATGGATACCCAGACAGGGGGTATCCGGTCTTTGTATAATATTAGTCGGAACGGTCCAGTTTGTTGCATCAGCCCGTTAGTCGTTTATTAATTACTTATTTAGGGCGGCCCAGCCTGTTGGGCCGGCCCATGGGTGTTTGTATGTAAACCCTAGCCCTAACTCTCCCATTATATATACCCCTCTTCTTGGAAGAGGGAAAGAGAGGGAGTTCATTCAACACACACCATACGTTCTGGCTTATGTTTGAACCAGCACAATAGTACTCTGAATTTACTTGACCCCAAATTTGTGCACTCTCGACTCAGTTCGATACTCTTCCGCCTAGCTTCCTAGGCCCCCTGGGTTCCTGGATCCAACAATCGCGTTTAAAAACTTTTATATTTTCATTCATTATTGGAAAATATTAAAATTAAATAGTATATTTTAAAATTTAAAAAAATACCTATTCAAAAACTATAATCAAAACAAATAAATTTACTTTAAGAACGGATAGATTGGTAGGACTAAACGAAATTACATTTGATTTTTTTGCTTTGAATTAATACTAATTGGATAGATTTTCTAATTATTTAAAGAAAGAAACAAATATATAAAAGGAAATAGATTTTTATGGGCACGCTTATTTAATAGAGCATTAATTTTATTCCGTATATATAAAAATTTTATTTAATAGAGACTCAAGAAATTATAATATCTCCACAATACATGAAGTTGGTGCTCTAATAGTTAAAGATCTTGATTCTTAACACAAGTTATTCCTCAAGAATATAGTGAACTTTACTTATCTGAACTTATTGGAGAACATAAAAAACTATTATATTCTTTTTTTGAAGATAGTGCACTATTGGCACCCGTGTTCGAGGTTATTGAATGGTAAATGAATTTGTCTTATTCTTTATTCCATGAGCTGAAAAGTAGTACTTAATTTCTTATTCTTCATGCCAACAAGTTTGGAATTAAAAAAGACATTTTTGAGTACATTTTTAATTCCTCAAATATTATATATTTATTATATTCTACCTTGGTGTTTTTGTCAAATGATAAAAAATCGTGTTAGAAATATATTTACTTGATCTAGAAAATATATTGCATTCAAAAAAATTCAAAATCAACAAAAATTTCGTCGATCCCGTGCGTTGCACGGGTGAAAATACTAGTTAAACAAAAAATGTAAGATTAATTTGGGATAAAGGGAGTACTTTAAAATTGTACATTTCACCTAATAGATGACACTAGAAATGAATCAAAGCATGCATATCCATATGCTAAAGATTACAATGATTTCATGTTGAAAGATAGTATACTAAGGTCAAATGAAAGTACTCGTAACATGAACGTTACTATAAGACCCATATAGTACTTCCATGGTCGAGTTAATCTAGTACCATAATACCTACTAATATGTGTGTACGTATAGAACCCTATAGATTGAGATACCTACTCCATATTATTACTATCTTCGTCCTTAAATATTTGTCAATTTTTATTTTTACAGTCAAAATTAATAGATTTTGACCACTAAAGAAATAAAATTGATATGAGATATTGATATAAAAATAATTTCATTAGACTTATTTTATACCATATGTTCAAAATATTATTTTATCTAATTAGTAGAGTTTACAATTCCTATTTAACTCGAGCTCAAAAGTCAAATATGATTAACAACACAAAGTTTAAACTGGATAAATATTCAGAGACGGAGGTAATATATCTTATGAGGCACAATCTCTTATCTAAAACGTACTAGTCTGAATATACTATGATGTCTATATTATCATACTAAGTAATGTTTTACTAGGGATTCCATTAGACATAGCTTGTAAAACATTGTAACCGTCTCATAATAAGGGCATTGTAGTCCTCCTTTGTGTTACTAAATCGCTAAGTGTATGTACTAAAACTATGTTTTTTTGAATGCTATTGACTCTATTACAAGGTAGTATCTGTTCATACTATTCTCAAGCTAATGACTAATGACGCACAAAGAGCCAATGCTGCTGCCTTCGCTGGGGCTCGAACCTGGGTGAACTTCCCCATGAATCCTGGGCAGTGGGCTTGCTACCACTCAAGCCAGGGGAGAAGTTCTCTAAAACTATGTTTAAATACACAAGATAAATAAAACTGATAAACAATGTTTACGGTCTTTTTATTCTTGATAAAAAGAGCTTACCTGAGAAAATTTCTTGATGGTCGTAACCCAATGGAATAAGATCGTGTCTGCTTGAAACCATATGAAGTTTAATGATGAAATTTTTAGAAATAAACACCTCCTTGATTGCTAATGCAGCGACAAAGCACACAAAATCTATATTTGAATACAATCAACAGTCGAAACACCCTTTGAACTCCTCAAATTTATAGCTCTATCATTTAAAGTTTGCAACCTTTTGCGACTTGGTATTCAACATTTCATCATAGAAGCTAGCATGACTCAGAATGATCTCTTAGCTTTTTTGTCACATTGTACCACTACTGGTGGTAGGGATGACAATTTTATCCGAATCCGACTTTTTTCGACCCGACCGAAGTATATAATATCCGAATCCGACCGAAAAAATTAATATCCGAAACCGACCCGAAGATTTTAAAACCGAACACGACTTTTGTCGGGTCAGTTTTCGGTAATTAAATCTGACCGACCCGACCCGTACGCAACCGACCCGATAATTAACCCGAAATAAAAGGCCTTTTTAAAAGAGTTAAGTGCACCGTTTACCCCCGAATTCTTTGAAAATTACATGGTTTACCCCCGAACATTAAAAAATGCACCAAATACCCCTGAATTCTCCAGAAATTGCACAATTGACCCCTGAACACTAAAAATTCCATCAATTACCCCTGAACTCTTCAGAAATTGTACTGTTTACTCCTGAACATTGAAATAAAGATGAAAATTTTGGGTAAAGGTACTTTGAAAAATTTACAAGGGTCAGATGAATCATATTCGCAATTATTGTGCGTGGAAGCAACGCACTCCATATCTAATAGTTTAGGACCAACGATGCAACGTTTTAATTTGTTCAAGGGTATTTGGTGCATTTTTTAGTGTGCAGGGGTAAATCGTGCAATTTTCGAAGAGTTCGAGGATAATCGGTGCACTTTTTAAAATTCAGGGGTAAAACATGCAATTTCTAAAAAGTACAGGGGTAAACGGTGCACTTAACTACTTTTTAAAATATAAAAAAACCTTTTTCATTAAAAGTCCAAAGCTACATACAGGGAGTTGCGGACTTAAGGACTTACGGCTGTTCCCGATTCTGGAACCCTAGTCCCTACCGGCGAACACATCGGCAAATCCGGCGATTCTTCTCATTCTCCATCGGCGACTACAGTGCACAGCCGCAATCTCAGGTGAACTCTCTCTTCCTACTTTTCCTTCCATTCCACTGCGATTCTTTACTCAATCAATCTGCTTTCTGTTCTGTTCATTATCTTGTGTAAATTTGGGATCTTTATATCGTCATGGGTGTAAATCTCAGAACGGATTTCTTTTTCTTTTTCTTTTTTTTGAATTTCCGCGGATCCACATTCATTCATACTGCTTTGTTCTTTTGTATTCCCTGAAGAAAATCTGATGGTGAGAGAGTGGTACTGTTTAGTGTTGTTCATTCATACTGCTTTGTTCATTCGTTCTGCTTTGTTCATTCATACTGCTTTGCTCTTTTTTCTTTTTTCAGTGAGAGAGTGGTATTGTTTAGTGTTATTCATTCATACTGTTCAGTGTTGTTCCCTGAAGAAAATCTGCTTTGTTCATTCATACTGCTTTGTTCTTTTTCTTTTGCTTTTTTATTTTTTCTAGTCTTGTCTTAATTTATATATACATGTTGCATTTTAGGATGGGTGATCATGTTGAATCAACACAAAAAGGACATGCTACACAAGGAGTAGAAGTACAAAAAGTAAGTGATTCAGCCTCTTCACAAAACCCTCCTGAAGAAGATCCAAGCAATAATTAGAAAAAGCCCACAAGATTAAAATCTATGGTGTGGAATCATTTCGATAGGGTCTTGATAGACGAAAATGTTGTTGCAATTTGTCATGGTTGTAATAAAAACTATGCTGGAGGTGGGAAAAGTGGCACTACCCATCTAAAGAATCATTTGAATAGTTGCTTGCAATCTAAAAAGAAAGTAATTGTGAGACAACAACTCATTCAAGCTTCCTTTAAGAAAGACCCGAACATGCCATATGTTCCTGGAAAGTTCAAGTTCAGTCGAGAAGTTTCTAGAATGGAGTTAGGAAATATGATTGTTTTACATGAGTACCCTCTATCTTCAGTTGATCATATTGGCTTTAGAAGATATTCTGCTAGCTTGAACCCCGAATTTAAAGTTCTGTCAAGGAATACAATAAAAGCAGATATTTTAAAGGCTTTCAATGAAGAGAAATCATTTCTGAAGAAGCGTTTGTCTTCAATTGAGGGGAGAGTTGCCATTACTACTGATATGTGGTCTGCGAAGAATCAAAAGAAAGGTTATATGGCAATGACAGGACATTTTATTGATAATGATTTGAAGTTAGAACATCACATTTTGAGGTAAATATTATAATGTAATAAAATTATCTACTTTCTTTTGCTCCATATATGTCAATGTTGATTGTTTCACGAGTATTACATATGATGTTTATTAATATCAATATCTCCTTTGTAGGTTTATATATGTGCCAGCTCCACACACCAGCGAGACACTTGCAAGGGTATTGATCAATGCTTTAATTGATTTTAATCTGGATGAGAAGGTATCGACTATCACCCTTGATAATTGCACAACGAATGATGGGATAATTAATGATTTGCTTGAGAAGTTGAATCCGTCTAAGTTAATTTTGCAAGGCGATATTTTGCAAATGAGATGTTGTGCACATATACTAAATTTAATGGTTCAAGATGGGTTGAGTGTTATTAGTAAGGGCATTGAGAAAGTGCGTGATTTAGTTGTCTACTGGGTTGCTACACCTAAGCGGTATGAAAAGTTTAAAAGTGCTGTTAGGTATTGTAAGATTCCAGAAACAAAAAGATTGATCCTAGAGTACTCAAAAACAAGATGGAATTCGACATATGAGATGCTTGAAATTGCATTGTTGTATAAAGATGCTTTTTACAGGTTGAGACAAAGTCTGAAGAATGAAAAGTTTGTTTTACCTGATGAAAGCGAGTGGGAAAAAGCTCGTGAGGTTTGTGATAAGTTGGTGGTTTTTTCTAAGGTAACAATTTGTTTCTCTGGCCAAAATTACCCCACAGCCAATTTGTATTTTCAAAGATTTTGTCAAATTAGACTCGCATTGAGTAATTGGCAAGCATCAGAGTCTATACTTATTAAAACAATGGCTGATAAAATGAGCGAGAAGTTTGACAAATATTGGTGGGTTATTAATGGTACTTTAGCTGTAGCATCTTTGTTGGATCCTAGAAAATAGATGGAACATGTTACTTTTTACTTGGAGAAACTTTATGGAGCACGTGCTAGCACTGAGTGTGAGAAAGTTAAAAAAAAGTTGGAAGCTTTGGTAGGTGATTATTAGAAGAGGGGATCTTTAAAGAGAAGTGAAGAGAACATTCCATCTTCAAATGTTAGTAATGTGACACGAGATAGTTCTGATTTGGATGATATGGAGTGGGAAAGACATGTCTCCACGATGCCAAGGAAGAAGCGTTTAAGATCACAAGTTGATGTTTATTTAGATGATGATGTGATGATAGCAGATCCCGAAAAGTTTAATATCTTGGTGTATTGGAGTGTTGTGGCAAAACAATATCCTATTCTTTCAATGATTGCTAGAGACATTTTGGCCATCCCTATTACTTCAATAGCATCAGAGAGTGATTTTAGTGCAAGTGGTCGAATCATTAGTCCTAGTCGAAGTCGACTACTTCCCAAAACAGTGGAAGCACTAATGTGTCTTAAAAGTTGGAGATTATCACAATCTCAAGGTAAAACACAACATTATTTTTTTTTGAATAATATTCTGCATTTCCAATGATAATTTTTATGCTTGAGTTATGTTATAGGCACATGCAAGGATAATGCCTTAGGATGTTCAAGCATTTTCGTTGATGAAGATGTCCAAGAAGAAAATATTAATGAAGAGGTAATTGTTTATCACATAAAAGGTTAGTCCTTATATATTTTCATTCAATATTTCTTTTAACATTAACAACTTTATATTTTTAGGATGGAGATGTTGAAAGTGACGAGGATGACATTTGATCTTGTGATTGGAAGTTCAATTTCTCCTTTGGCACATGTTTTGTGATTTGAAAAATATTTGTGAAAACTTGTTATATTTATGTGTGTTGTTTCTCTTGTGAAATGTTATCCAGTACAAGAAGATAGTATTTCTTAAATTATACTTCCATGTTTTGGTTGTTATTCGGGACACATCTTTTTTTAATATCTTAATTTTACGATGTCTTTGAATGTTCAAATGTTTTTATGTATTGGAATTCTAATTATATCATTACATGCATTTATTATTTTATCATTATTTTAATAAAAATAATTACAAAAAACTGATTTATTAGGATATTGGTATGGTCAGTCGGTCGGGTCGGTCAGTCAGTCGGGTTGGTCGGTTTTCAGGTCGGGTTAGGCTTAGGTTTTTGTCAAATTCTCGGGTTCGGTTGCGGTTTCGGGTTTCAGTTTAGGCAGTCAGGTTCGGGTTCGGGTAGGAATTTATACCCGACGGTTCGGGTTCAGGAAAAAAAAACATCCGATCAAAATTTTGGGTCGGTTTCGGGTAAAGGTATATCCGAACCGAACCCGACCCGTTGCCATCCCTAACTGGTGGTTCTTGGTTACACCTTTAAGGACACTCATAGTTGAATTGCAAAGTAGTGATAGCCACTAACTTAGTATGATATCTCCTTATAACATTTAGAGAAGAATGTATGTAGTCTATGTCAGGATCTTCTTGATGGGTCCAACGTCAGATGCATATCGAACAATTCTTATGTGTTTCCTCTATTGGAGCATAGAGAGGTCTTCGAAAGACTTGTACCTTTGAATCTATCAATGCCTAGCCTTGATTTAGACCGAGCAACTTTCTTTGATCTATCTATATAGATTCTAAATATCTAGTGCTAATATAAGTTGGTTTCTTTATTCATAAGAATTTCTCACTTTGCTCTCTGCAAACATTAAAGTGTAATATCAGACTTGTGAAAAGTATGTCATACATACAAGAAATTTACAACGTTCTCACTAATCTTTTGTAGTCACAAGATTTCATTCATGTCTAACAGAACTCATGATTGATTATGGTTTTCTTAGGGTGATGGAACAAATACATAAAACTTGCTCCATTGGATAGATTGTCCGTTGTAACTTACATACTTTGATTGATTCTCCAAAGACAAAATCTCCTTAAGTCGTATCGTGCACACATCTTTAGGATATTCCCATTTTGGAGATTTGTGTATCTACAAAATAATGTTGTGCAGCAATAGCAAGTTCTGACCAGGTAATAATTTTGACCTTTTGGCTTGATGCCATGTCTTGGACATAGGGCCACTGATGGCCTTAAAATTGATCTTTTGTTCCTCCCAAGCAATGAGCCATTTATTGTTTGAGGATCAAACTTCATACGAGTATTTTTTATTGTCATTACTCAATTGATAAAATAATTCACCCATAAAATATAGGTTTAGTAGGATAAAGCTCAAGAGACTAGTAAGCGGAAGAATGGGGTTGGATTAGGGGCGATTGTGACATTTTCTCTTTTTATTTTCCTCACTTTGGTTTTTGTGCAGAAAAACCCCCCAATAAATACTCTAGGACACTGAGTGTATGAAGTACATGTAAAGCAGAAATGGCTCTTAACCATACAAATATGGAATGATACAAAGCTAATAAATGGCAAAAACGCAGGCAGAGATTGTTGGACGAAAAGAGTAATGTTTTTGCCATGCTTCTTGCAGATATTTTAAAAACACAGACTGAGATTTATAGAATGGTAGGATGTGTTACATACATTCCTCGGCAGGGGTATGGTGATTTATCTTCAAATCCTGCCATTAATTCATAACAACTGTACAGGTCTTTAGTTGAAAAGGGAGTTCTCGCTCGCGTGCTCCGTATCATACAGTTGAATTCATATTACACAGCATGTGCATCTACAAAGGACTTGAATCAGAATGCTGAGTGAAGATGTAAACCTCATCATAGCCTCTCCTGCAGCACCGAAAGGGGAATGGGTGACTAAATATCCAAAATTTTATTGGTGCATTCTGAGAGGAGGCTGAAATATTACTCACCCAGCCTTCCCACTATAAGAGGGACTATAGTTGTAGATTAGATTGTCAAGCACTGTTTGAGCATCTGGTCTGTTTGAAGACTTCCTTGCTTCACTGAAAGAAAAAAAAAACACAAATAATGTAAGGGTCCGTTTGGTATATGGAATTAATGGAATTGGAATTGAATTGGAATTGAAATTCCATGGGATTCAATTCCACAGAATTGATTTCACCAATACCAATTCATTTTTTGCATTATCAATTCCAAATCCACATTTTTTTGTGCTACCAAACACCAGAATTGGAATTAAAGTCCTCAATTCCAATTGCATAGTTTGAATTCCGTGTACCAAACGGGGCCTAATCGTATTTAGTTACAAATAATGGAAAGGTGCATGAAATATCTTAGTTTTGATAAACCAGAAAATGTAATAAATGCATTTGATAGAGCACATTGTTACTTTATGCAATCCATGGTTGGCCCTGGACAATCAAAATGAAGTGCCTCCCCTCCCCACACGCCAGGTAGAGTTATTTACCAGTGTCCCCTGAGCGACCAGGCCTCCAGCCCAGGCCAATCACGGGTCCAAGGAACGGTGGACTGGACCTGATATTTTGTCTTCCAACCATGGAGGCCAACCTCAAATGTTTATGAATTTTTACAGTTAACAAATTCAATGGTGCAGTCAGGAGCATATATTCTCATTAGGCACCCAATGTAACGCGAAAGAACTTCATAGATTTAAACCACTCAATGCGGCTTAAGAGGGTGAAAGAACTTGGCAAGTAATCGCTGAAATTGCACTTCCGAAACATGAAAGTGAGCATCTTTACACAAAGTTTTAAGGAACATGTGAAATTTGAACAGTTCACGGGTCATTATTTTAACAGTTCTTTGGATGCCAAATATCGAGAAGTGTACTCTTTCCTTTAATATGCTTTTCTCATCGAGCTGTTCCTAGTGATATTTTAAGGAGGCAGATTCTCAGTATGAACGAGAGCGGAGCTTTTCTTATTAGGACGGGGGCCAAAACTCTTACGTACCAAGGGCAAAGACAACCTTCCACATTTTATTACAGGCGACACATTTATCGTTCAAGGATGAGCATAAGCAATTGACATCGCACTAGGTTTAGAGGACTTCTACTTCAATTTCTCATGACTCTGTCACACTTCAAGAAGTGAGGGACTATTTGATGGATTATATTCAGCATTGTGACCAAGGCTTTGGCTTCAATGCACTTAAGAGGACACCATACCTAGCATTCGTTCTTGGCTAGTTCATTAGAGGATCCTATCAAATCATTAAAATGTATTAGCCGAATATGGAAGGTCTTTATTTATGAGCCCATTGTTATCCCTCATTAACCCTGTATTTATTTGCTCTTTATTAGCTCAACTTGTCGGTTCCTTTTACTATAAGGAGAGGCAGCATGACTTAGTTTAGGAACTTCATCTTCGTCCTTGTACTCTAGTATAATACAAAACACTGATCTTATCTTGTCATTCATAGAGTTCTTCTCCGCTTCTCTATATTCTTACATATTATAGGGTTTTACCTATTTTTCAACCACTTGCTGCCGACCACCACCATAGGTAGTCCCCACACTACATGTGTGATTTTGAAATGTGTTGGTGAACACATTCTAAATTAGAAAACACAAACAAAGAATTAAAAAACTATAAAACAATTAACAGAAAAAAGAAAATTAGAAACATAAATATAGAAAATAGAAAACAGAAGTAAACAGACCCTGAAGGCCTCTTTGTTGAGTAAAGCTGTAGAATGAGTTTTAAAATCTGAAAGAAATGGAATGGGCTCTAAAACCTGAAATGAAAGTATTTGAAGAAAACTAAAATGAAATCAAGTCTCACTCTTTGTTGTTTGGTGAGAAGGCATTGAACCATTTTAAAAAGGAACTGAAAAAAAAACTCGAAACACCAATTTTGGGCAATAAATAAAAAGAAGTCTTTGATCCGAATGCAGAAGAAAAAAATTCCGAAGGAGGCAACGGTGAAGAAAACAAAATCGTAAAAAATTATAATCCAAACAACAATTTGAGAAAGAGAAGAAATGAAGTCTTGGATGCACAAGGAGACGAAGATGGAGATAAAAATTGAAACAAAAAGGTTCAAACACCAATTGAAGATGAGGAAATAAAGGGAGAGAAATGGATACTTATCAAGGCATGGATTATTGGGAGAGTTTCCTTATCACCTGATGTGAAAGACGAGCCTCTTTTTTGTTCACCAAGCACTAATTTCGGGAACTTGATATCAAAGACATGAAAACCCATACCAGTCTGACTCACCAAACACACCTAAGAATGCCATTCTGCATGGAGATCTTCATAAATAAGTCTATATGGAGCACAACATCTAAGGTTTGTTGCTCAGAGGAAGTTTACAAGAGTTTGTAGACTTCAAGATCTTTGTATGGCCTTAAACAAGGTACAAGTGAGAAGTTCAATCAAGAAGAAGAGCGATCTGGATTGGTTAAATGGAAATCGAATCACTCTATCTTTGGCAAACAATCCAACACATGTATTAACTTACTCATTGTGAATTTGTGATTACAAGAAGTGATGCAATTCGAGTTTTAATTCTTAGGACATTCTTTCATACTTCATAGTCAATTAACTGAAATATATCTTGGGAACTGAAGCAACAAGAAGTAAGGGATACTCCTACCTCAACGTAATTATGTATGGAGTATTCGATATATTTATAAAGGAAAGTTAGGATTAAGGTCATGTAGTACTCCTATATTTTCTAACATATCATACAATTCATTCGAATTTGAAGAATATTAGAGATTTAGAGGATTAGCTAGGAAATTAAATTATCGTACGGTGACTCATCCAGACATTCCTCATCTAGTTACTGCGGTTAGCTTGTACAGTATATGGTATCCCCAATCATTTATCGCTGGCTGTTGTAGAATATATTTTTTGTTACTTGAGTGCACCACGACAAGGGATTGCCAATCAACATCATGAACACAAAATTGTGTTTTGTAAACACTAATTGGACTAGCTCTAAGGAACTTTTCTTGGAAACGTAAGAAACAAGACATGGTATCTCGATCGAGTGCAAACCAAAAGTATCA